GAGATGTCACTAAACTATAGAAAAAAAATTTCGGAATTTTTCAGGGTCGGATTCGGAATGAACTAGAATTTTCCCTCGGAGTCGGAGTTGGAACCGGAATTAAAAAAAAGAATTTTCCGGAGTCGGAGCCGGAATCGGAATTAAAAAAGAAGCAAAAAACGGAGTCGGAGCTGAAATCGGAATAAAAAAAGTCGACTCCGCAGTTCTCTAGTATGTACTAAGTCTAGCTTCATGCAAGGATTGATTTTGTACTGCCATAGTTTAAGGAATCCAATGATATACTGCGCATTTATATTCTCGCTTTCGTTCTGCTTCAAGAAATACCTAAACCAAGTCAGAGGAAGACAAAGAATGGTTAGTTTGAAAAGATTTTCTCAACGGTGGGCAAAGGAAAAATCTCCTCAAGGTCTTGTCGCATTAGATTTAAATCTTAATGTAATCCTCCTCCATCATGTAATAAGATCTACCCTATTGAGAGAAGCACGTATATCTATAGGCTAAGAAGACGAATACGAGTGGTCGATTAAGAAAGACCAATAATAGACTAGGTTACGTTTATACATAGAAGACAATACTAGAGGAAAGGAAGGGAACATAATGTGGTTTGCATTGTGCAAGACATGTGATTAGATGGTTGGGTGATTCACTATCTAACACCTTCCCGCTCACAAAAAGTAAATGCTCTCGTTTATCACAAAAGATTATACCTTGACTTTGGCCATATTGATCGCGGTTGTACCATATAATTTTATTTTTGAGCCATCTAGCCCTGATCTTCTCTAGGATGACCCAAATCACATAATCCATATAATTACCATAATCATATCACGATCAAATAATAAAAATGTTTTTATACTAGAAGAAATTGCACAAATAAAACCATTAACACCGTATCATAATGATGTTTCAAATATTGTACGATTAACAGAATAATTATAATGTTGTACACCACCATAACCATTCTGCCAAAATAGAAATAGAAATATTTTTAACATTAATGGATTCTATGTCTAAATTGTTTGTCACTCATAAATTATTATACCAATACTTCTATCCATTGAAGTGGCCAGCAGCAATAAATATAATACTAATATAATAAATATGAATTGTAATAACAATTTGACATTTCCATAATTATTTTAATTTAATGCTTAAATTTCATCACCAATAAGTCGATGTATTGGTCCATATTAAATAAACTGTACCTCGTATGTTTTATGTTCTAATCGACGTATTATCTGGATCGGTCGGTCCGGTCATCAAGAACATGCAGAAAACGCGTTGGACCTAGCTCCTTCAATTCTTCACAAAATGAGATGCTGACCACATTTCTAGGATGTTGTGCCAAATGCTATAGAAACTACGATACAGGTAAAAACTTCGGCATTAAAGCGAATGGGTTTATATTCGTAATGTTAAGAGCCTGTAACTCGATCGTCCGAGATCGTGGAAACGTTAGCAATATCTCATTTTGTGAAGAATTGAAGGAGCTATTCAATGATGTCGATAGCTTCGGAAAGAAATTTTAAGATCACTGGGTATTATAGAAAACCGAGTTTTTCAGAAATGTCTGCCTCAAGACCCGGAGGCCTAGCATAACGTTTCTTCATCGAAATATATAGAACTCGACGCGCTCGTTCATTTGAGACCAACTTTAGGGTTCTACGTTAGGGAAGGTGGTCAGCAGGCGTTCTACAATTTAGGCCAAATCCGCCAAAAAATCCATTTTTTCGCTGCTAGAGTAAAATGGCTATAATCTTTTTTCTAACAAGGCTAGAGACTTGCGGGTTTCACCATTCGGTTCAGCTTGCTGAGCTCTATAATATGAGACAGGTCTCGTCGCTCACATCAAAGGTAAATGGTGGTAGGTTTTATATCTATCGACCCTATCCGCCGATGCTGAAAACATCACTCTGAAGTAGTCATATCCGAAAAAATGAGCGTTCACACTTCCAACTAGAAATGAGTTACTCACCATTTTATAGAGCTTTGAAAGAGCAATCTTTTGATATATAATGTAGACCGCAACCTAGGTTCTTTCATGGTGCGAAAGTTGAAATACTATACTGTTGTTGGCTATGCTGAAAAGGCCATTTTTAACAGTAATATGGCAAAAACCTGAGTGTCGGCGGTGTACATAACAATTGAGTAATTAGATAGTTTTGTTCGCCGGTTAAAGCTACATCGAATGGTATATAGGAGTTTCCTTCAAACTTGTTGTGTTCTGAGAAAATTACGAAAAACCCCTCGGAATGGACTCGCGGAGTTATTGTTCAAAGTTGATCGATTTTCTGACAGATATGAGGTCCGAAGCGGAACCAAGGGTGTAGAACCCCACTGTATGCTCTTTCATTCTAGATACCTTTCGAGAAAATCTAAAATGGGGCCGATCCTCGTTCTTATTGCACCCCGTCCTTTATAGCATTATAATGCGTTTCAATTTTTTATCTCGTTACAACGCGCTTAGAGCCTGAAAAATTGCTTTGCAACGCGTGATAACACAGGGGACTACGTCTATTGCGTTGTAATGAAATAAATCTATAGCGTTGTAATAGCATAATTTAAGAAAAAGCAAGGTTTATAGCGTTATAGCGCTATAAATAGAGAATAAAAGATCCTGTGGGTGATTGATGTTGCAAATATGATGTTAATGTATGTTTCTAATCAAAAACATTTAAAATTGATGACAATAGAAATAATTGGTGGCAAAAAACGGAAATTAAATTTGAACCATGTTCAGATGATGAAGTTTATCCTGTTCGATTAATTAGCACAATGATTATACAACCTCATACAGAACAATTGATTGAAATAACAGTACCAATAAGACAGCTTGATAACAATGATATTCAATCCCGATCATCAATTACGTTGGGTTATGCTGCCTAACGCAGCGGTCAAGGTCGATAATTATCATTCAATCATATCAATAACAAGTCCAACAGATAAACCAAAAATGACTTTAACGAATATTGTCATAGGAACACCAACTGTTGAATCAGAATGTATACCAATTATGATATTACTTCAAGATAAAAAAGATGTACTTAAACAAACAAACATAGATCAAGATAATATGCGCTGTACATGTAAGACACAATTTCAGTCAAAAAATTTATTGATGGCACACCTTAAGATATGGATCATGGTACGAAATCAAAATTAACGCCAGTACAAGAAATTATATTTGCAAGCTATATTATATATAGAAATTATATTTATTACCATCTAGATGGACAACAACAACTACAAACAAGATTTGTATTAAATAAGTATCAAAATTTGTTTGATACAACTGATCTACCAGCTATCAAGGCGACAGTTCATCACACGGTCAACACTGGTAATCATTTTCCAATATACAGTCACCTACGTCGTAAATCAAATGTTACGAGAGAAATGTAACAACAAGAATGGAACAAATTATTGAAAGATTGTATTAGTCGCCCGCCAAACAGCCCTTGGCCTTCACCTGTGGTTATAGTGAAGAAGAAAGATGGTATACGGAATATTTTGATAATTTCCTGCCCTTTGTAGCCACGCGTAAATCGACTGCGGTTGGACGAAAAAGCGTTATAGACAGCCCAGAGATATCTGATTTTGCTCAGAATTCGTTGTCATATCAGGCTATGTGGTTGAGAATATCTTCTTATCAAAAACCGAAGACTCGGCTTTCTAGCGGTCACGTCTTCCAGAAACCCATTATCAAGTTCTCTCGTAAAATGGCGATATGCACTTCATCTGGTAGAAAAATCTATTCAAAACAGTATTCAGATTTGTTCCAGCTTTTGCTAAAAAGTCAAAAGCAAAGTTCTTGTAGTTATGACACACTGTACTGCATATATAACATGCAAACGCTTCTTTTCCATATCTTTGATGACCGGGCCGATCGATCTAGATTACCTGACTAGCTGAGTATGTAGATAATTTCAAGGCTATGGATCCTCGATCCGCTTTTTTGGCTTGTATTATTTGGATGTTCTATTCTTACATCAACAAACGAGATTAAAACAAATGTGAAGGTTATTGTTGCTGAAAGACCTGGCGGCGTATAATAATGCTGGTAAATAAATGAACCAGTTGCATTTAATTGTAGAAGTTCTGCTTCAAGTGCTGAAGTAATGACTTATCATATCAATACAAGTTCACCATTTGTTATTTGCAGTTCAAATATAAAATCAGGAATGAGAGATACAGTACATGTTGTACAAACCAGGTGTATTTCTGAGTCAACACTAACATAATCGGAACCGCCATTTAACGAGGATAATGGCAAGTGACCGTTACTATCTATACCACTATTAGATATATAAAAGTGAATACTATCTTTAAAAAGCAATAGAAACTACGTTCTTATTTAACCCAGTAGGAACTAAGAAACGTTTAAGCGTTCTGTAGAGCATAACATAGTCAAAATTTATTATTCAATTTAACGATGTTTGTTCGATTCTCCGTCTAAAGTTACCTATATATACAAATTTTTAGATCTTGGTAACACTTGATTGATGAGTTATGAATTTTTTGAAAAAAGATGGAAAAATTGTCCTTGAAAAGTCGCATGCTTTCGTATTTTAATTTCTGTGCGTCTGGACGATTTTTGTTCTGAATTAACTATACACTGTAAAAAATAGTCGTATATTAATAAACTATCAAAAAGGGTTTATTGAGACCAATAAATCTTTTAAAAAACGCTTTTCCGTTTTTTATATCCAAAAAACTAAAAAGCGTTCGTGACAGATGCAAAATGAAAAACGGGCGGTTTTTTATCAAAAATAAAAAACCCTTTTTAGTTTTTGTCGAGTGTAAAATATCAGCTAAAAAACTCTTCAGTTTTTTAGCTAATTTTTTAGACTCGACAAAAAAGTGAAGAGATTTTTAGCTGGTATTTTAAACTCGACAAAAAACTGAAAAGGGCTTTTTATTTTTGATAAAAAACCGCCCGTTTTTCATTTTGCATCTGTCACGAACGCTTTTTAGTTTTTTGGATATAAAATACGGAAAAGCGTTTTTTAAAAGATTTATTGGTCTCAATAAACCCTTTTTGATAGTTTATTAATATACGACTATTTTTTACAGTGTATATCAGTAGACCTAGCGGGAAAAGCTAGACATACTGTGCTACTATTCAAATAAAAAAAAATTTTTTTCAAATAAATTAAGCTTTTGAAACTTGAACAATTTTTTTATTTAAAAAGAGCATAAAGTAGTCCAATCCAGTAAGACTAAAAAACGTTTTGAAGCATTATGTAGAGCAGACAATTCTTTACAAAATGCACTACTTTACATTGTAAATATCCCCGTGGCGCGTGTTAAAAAATGAATTTTGATGAATACTACTGCAAGGATTTGTTTAAAAGATTACTCTAAACATAGTAATGACTTATTTAGTGATAAATTACCCTTGTTGATGTCAAAAGCACATGTGATTTTGAAACCGATCAAGAAGAAATGAAAAATAGGTCATTTTTTAATGTCATGATAAACTGAAGTCTATATCTTAACATTAGCAAAATCTTACCTCCTCATACCAGATGTGACTTTGGACGAAATTGTCAGGCTAATAAAAGAGAACATCTGCGAATGTTTTTCAGCCTTAAATTGTTCCCAACAGATCGTTTAAAGGGATCAGTGCGTTATAATCGCTCATACAATATTAGATTATCAAACGTACCTTATTACAAAGATGAGGATATTCATCAAGTTACAGTGGACATTGCACATGGAATCGTTTGCTATCTTTATTATACAGAAATTGAAACGACTCATCGTAGCTTTCAAAAATCAGAAAGAACGGAACGATAAGAGCTAAAACTGGTCCAAGCTCATATCAGTATTGTATTAATAAATCTGATGCAGTTTTGTCCGGAATAAACGCTAACATATTTTTAACCTTAAAAATCCTTTTCAACGCTCCTTGAAACATTTTAGCAAAAAAAGCTCCTCTCGCGTAAAATGACGTTTACCCTTACCCTCATCCTGTTGTTTTGGAAGAATGTGTGAGTAGATATTCTAAGATTAGAAATACTATTCAACACCTGAACACATTCATTAGTCTATATCATTCAGGCGCAATAATTCTCCGGAATTGCACGAAATTAAAGCACAGCATATGGATTCAAATGATGAACATAAGCTAAAACTTACGAGGGAAGGCTTCCGACTGTCAAATCTCGTAAAACTTAGTGGACAATGGGTAACCGAACATGTTGATTCCGAATATGACGATGGTTTTTGCCAATGCGCCTTTGGAGATCCCGGTTTTTGAAAAACTGAGTATGAAAAACTTTTTTGTTCAAAAATATTTTTGATCCGTACAAACGAAAGTGCATGCTCTAAAACCTACGCAAAACTATTTTTTAAGGTTTCGGGGGCGGGGGGGGGGGGTGGGAGGTGGTGAATTGTTATTAGTGTAGGGTTTAGGGGGTTTGGGGGGGGGGGGGGGGGGGCGGGGGACAC